ACTGTCGTAGATTCCGATTCATTTGCTGCCTGGAAGGACGAGGCTTTCGAGTTGTGGCAGACGCAGTGGGCGTCGGCGTATCCAGAAAATTCGCGCTCACGTGAAGTAATCCAGCACATCTATGACACTTACTTCCTCGTGAACATCGTCGACAATGATTATGCCAATGGTGAGTTATAAGTATAGAGGTGATATGACATTTACAATGTTAATAGTGTACGGGGTGTTGCAATGTCGTTTACAGAGAAATCGGACATCTTTAGCATCTTTGCGCGGATAATCACAGAGACCATGGACAAGGAGCAGCTGTGTGCGCGTGTGGTTGAGCTCGAGACCCGGCGTGACAAAATGTTCGAAACGCTGGCGGCATTCCAGTCGCTTCAAAAGGAGCTGAAGGATGAGCTGTGCGCTGCGCATTCAAAGATAGCGGACGTGTGTAACGAAAATTTTCAGTTGAAGGAGAAGGTTCGCCAATTGAAGGCTCAACTCGCACTTTCATCGATTTAATTACAATCAACTTGACTACAAGACCCTTTCAGAATGTACAAACCAATCGCAACCTGATCTTGGATATGTGTTGCACTGCGTGACGTGACAGATTCCGATTGACAGCATGTTGGGCTCTTTAGAATATGAATAAAGTTATGCGGATACTGAATAACTGATACCAATACAGTAATCATTACTTTAAGTTCCCTCTTTGATCTAGGCTGTTTAGTGCGAACTTTTACAAACGTTGCGAACTTGGCGTATTGCACTTCACGTGTATCGTTTCCACGTTTGAATTCTTCATAAAGTAATGACATGTCTGCAAATCCTCGCACCTTCCAATAGAATAGAAGGAAGACAGCGTCGTAGCGAGGCCCAACACAGATGAAGTTGCCAGCCGAGCGTAATGAATTTAATGACAAAACTAATCGTAATATTTTGGTTGCGACAGATCTTGAGCAATTAACATGAAAGCTAAAAAATGAGAGAGAAATTCTGAGATTGGGAATCCATAATACCCAGCATTAGAGGACAAACGTTACGAGTACATGAAAGTTTACCGAAGGCTCTTTATTAAGCTGCCGGTAGAAATTGAGGACAGCATATTAAATGATTTGATCTCGGAGATGAAAAAGTGCACCATTGCACACGATTCGAAATCTCATCTCTGAGCTTTTGGGTTTGAATGAACACGAATTTGAAGTGTATCAACAAGCGTTTATTGAAGATATTGAAATCAATTTGCCAGCTGATATTGATGAAGAATTTTCAGAAATTACGATTATTAGTTCAAGACAGAACTTATAGAATGCTTGATAACACATACTGATGGTGTCGTTGATAAACAAGTGGCCTAGCAAACCCTGACCAACCAGATCGTTGTGACGCGCACCACTAGGCACCACTTGCCGTGGTAAGCCAGATGGTCCTATAACTCATTCATGCCGATGTGGATGGTAATGAAGCTAGTATGTAAGGCTGGTGACGCTTGCTGCGGTGCTGTAAGCGAGATCTGAGAGTCTTTTGTCCTCTTTTAGGGGATTGCAGGCTATAATTGCTTGAATTTGATGCCGCACATGTCCATAAATTAAGTGAAATGCTTGGACCACACCAAATTTGGTTCTTGGAAGTTACGTACAAACATCCTTGGAGAGCGACTCGGTGTCAAAGTTGCTAAGGACTGCAGATATCCGAACGTATTCAACTGACCGAACAGGAGCACTTGAGATGTTAATAGATATCATTTTTAGTACGAAGAAATGACCACAGCCTATCGCTGCAGTTCCTCCTTTAAGGGAAACAAATTTTTCGACCACGTGAGTACATACAAACTATCACGCTCAATTTACACAACAAGGAACTGTGGAATATTCTGGATTCTACCCAACATTACAAGGAATATAGATTTGTTCCTGACAATCAGTGCCAAGAGTACGATAAGTTGAATTTTATCAGCATTCGAATCGTGACTTGTCCATCCGTCTTGCCGGTTGTGGCGTGTCGTAGCGATCTAAGTAGCGCCCTAGGTGAAACCACGCATGCGCATTGCAAGATGACGCTATTTTTGTTGCTGAGATGACCTAGAAGGTGGTGTTCGACTTTTTGACTGGTATGAAGTGGGTTAGTATCTTTAGTTAAATTTGAGTTCAGAAGCAGCTGACCTGAACCCCCATTGGCGCTGCCAAGTGGGTAGTGAACCCGCGTTATGGATGCGTTAAAGGTCAACACATGTCTGCCATCCTACCTAGCTTTGGCAAATTAGGCCCGAGAGTACCATGATCTGTCAATTTCACGATCCAGTCGTACGATTTGCATCATGAAGTAATCGTCAACTTCAAATTTCTCTACCTACTTGCTCATCTATTTAGCCTACTGACCTACGTTTAATATGTAGAAACACTTTTAGATGCGGTGTACACACTCGCAAGCAAAACCTTAAATGTTGGTTATCTGATCTACTAAAACTTTTAAATCCGTTCATTCTAGATCCGTTACTTAAGCTAAGAGTAGCAAAACGATCTTTTCCTTACACAGCAAAAAGCAACTGTGGAATTTTCAACTGGTACAACAGAACACGTCGGCATCTTTCAAAATGCGTTACCCCACAAAAAGCGGTGTTGCCATTGGCTCAATTACTATGTGCTAGGCGATTAATAGCGCGCACCGCATAGATTCTCTTATCGGTGCAGCTGACGCTGCGCGACGTTACCGACTTCACGTTTTCATCATAATTTTCGATGCATATAATCAAAGATCAGTTTGACTGTCGCTTTATAAAAGAGTCTCACTTGTCATCTAGAGCTATTGCATTCTTGTGTAGCTTTAAAATTAAAATTGCGATGACATAGATTTTAATCTCAAAAGCGTTACTTTACACAGAAGTTATTAATAAAACTTCAACGAAAACCATACCAATGCCTTCCGTTGTCGAACGGTATCTTTTGCTGTTAGATGCAGCTTCAACAACAATTGTTTTGATCAACCTTGATCGCGTGCGCTAGCACTTTCACTATGAGAACAAGATCACGAAAGGATACATCATGAGAGACGAAGTAACTGTAATTTAAATCCCAAACTGTTATAATATAGCAAATATCATCGTGTCGCCCCGCCGTTTATTTTTAAATGCTGTGTTTAAAAGAGATTGGATGCCTGGACATATAAAGAGTTTACCGATTAAAACACATGATAATCATTTTGCCTACAAGAATCAACACTTTGTTTTCAGGTGCTTACATTTGAAATTGATACGACATCATCCGACCTTTGGCCGCACAGCCATGGGAAACTCTGGACATAGTCAGACTAATACTGGTCTTGAGTCTGTTATTGCGGGTGTTGTGGCCGGTTGCGTCACCCGCTCCTGCACATCGCCTTTGGACGTGCTCAAGATTGTGATACAGGTCAATGGTCCGTTGTCTCCAAAATCCGTGACAGCAACCAGCAGTATCACCACCGATGCCTCCGTTTCTACACCGTCTGCTTTCGTAGCCAGACGCACCGTTGCAGTGCGTTCATCGGCTTCATCCGCCATTGCTCGCACTGTTCGCGAGTTGTATGCGTTGGATGGCGTGCGAGCTTTCTGGCGTGGCAATAGCGCAGGTTGCTGTCGTCTTGGGCCTTACGCTGGTCTTAAGTTCTACCTTTTCGACACCTTGCAAGCACACTTTGTTGCTCGAGAGTGTCGTGATCTTAGCAACTGGCAGAGTGCTCTATGTGGCGCCGCAGCCGGTCTCCTTGCCACTATGGGCACCTACCCTCTTGAGGTGGTGCGCACCCGCATGATCTTACAGACCGCGAATCCGGCCGTTGCTAACAGTGAGATTTACGGTGTATTGCAAGGAGTACGTTTAATATTCGAACGAGAAGGGCTACGCGGTCTGTATCGAGGTGGTTGGTCCGGCGTTGCTGGTGCTATTCCATTTGAAGGCGTCCAGTTTGGCTGCTATGAATACTTAAAGAGGAAAGCCATTCATCATCAGTGGCCTGCCTACCGCTGGCCCAAGGGTAAGACCGAAATGAACGGGATGGACTACTTTGTTTGTGGCAGTGTTGCCGGTGCGATAGCTCAGACGGTGGCTTATCCGTTTGATACTGTAAAAAAGCGATTACAGTCGCAGCAGGTGAATCTCAATGTGTCGAGTATGGGTCCACTGTGTGCGGAAGGGGGCAATCCTTCGACGTTGTACTATCGCGGAATGGTAGATTGCTTTCGTAAGGTTATTCGAGACGAAGGTCCACTGGCACTGTACCGTGGCACGGGCCCTAATCTTGCTCGTATTGTGCCATACGCCGCTGTCATGTTCTCGACGTACGAAACAACGAAAAAAGCATTGCGTGTGTTGAGCAGCCGCGATTAAGAGAAATGTTGAGAGGGAACAAGAGAGATGAGAGGTCTTGCATGATATTTACTGGAGTGAGTGATGCCTTTGTGTGGCGAAGGCTTTGTCAATTGTAGTCATTGTTTTATGAGGAGTTGCGAGAGCATAAGCATGTATCCAATATATACTGTTTATATTCATCGTTTCATTGGTGGTTGATGAATGCGAATTTAACGCGTACACCGCTCTGGAAATTTTAAATTGTACATTTACACTAATTGGAATACCAGAGCACAGAGTGTCTGAGCATCTTTGCACGAAAAAACGCTAACATCTACTCAGTTGGACTCTCTCTCGGCTACGTTTTTGAAGTGAACAATCAATCTTTTATAGCACGCTCTTAATTATTCTGTCACAAACATCCTGATTGCGATCGTAAAGCACTCGACCCTTTTATGCTCCCCACGAACATCATACGCTAAACATCTATATCAATGTTTGGTACCGTATCACAGATTGTGTATGTAAACATGCAGTGAATATTGATCATCGTTCACGAAGAACCGATCGAGTTTACCAGGTATCTAGAGTGTAGATGCTAGTGAGGACAGCTACATATAACAGTGAATTCAATCCTACTTTTCATTTGGCACTGCAACAGAGCGAACAACATTGTTGTTGGTTATGCAGCAGGACCCAACACCATCCTCACGTACAAAAACTAATTCATGTGGGAGTTTAATGCCCGAGTGACTCTCGCACACTTGCTGGACCATAATCTCTTGAAGCCAGAATCGGCAGTGCAACGGAATATCCCGCATAGAAGGCCCAGATATGAAAGCTCTGGCTGTGCTAGTCAAATACTCTCTCAGCTTCCCAATCTATGGTCAGAGAGTGCATAACGGCAATGGAAGCCCAGATGTTGCTCAAGACATTCTTCGCTAAAAGAACCTGTGTAACGGGAGTTACACGTACCCTGATAACAGGTCTGTGTCTCACACGAGATGTGCATGGTGTGAACAAGAATACGGTATGTGGCTAGATAGCCAGTAGTTATGCATGCATTTCGATTTTACTATGTATATTTACTAAATTTAGGAAAATCTAAACTTTTAAAATTAGAATAACAAAATAAATAAAAAGCAGTTTGTAGATTAAACCAAGGTAATAATCACTCTCGGAGTAAGCGGATTGCGATCCGCTAGCTCATACTTGATTCTTGCAAAGAACGAAAGATTGGTGACCTAAAGCACGCTTCCTCAAGCTTTTTGCTACGGCAGCCCCGCTGCATTTGGTAGCTCTTGTAGTCAACCTACACCTGGGTCGCTTAGACTAATCCTCTGTGAGGATGAAAGAATTTTCCTTTTTGCCCCAGGGCATTCAGGACGGGCTAAACAAGCTGATGTCCTTGCTTGACCTTGAGGGCGTGCAACATCTTGTAGCACAAGGCCCCGAAGCAATCGGTGCGCGTATAGAGGCGTTTTCGAGTTACGAAAACGCGCTGCTAGAACACCTGTAGCAGAAGATGTCGGTGACGGATGACTTCCCTCGACCTAAGCCGCTCATGGTGAGCGTTTAGGTCTTTGAGGGGTAGGATGGAGAGAATCTTCTGCTCTGGGTGAGAGAGGTCGAGATGGCCGTCGCATCTGCATTGCTCCAGAATGAGCAACAGCGCGTGGCGCTAGCCATCTCTAAGCTCGGTGGTCGAGCGCGAGAATGGGCACTGACGTGCGGCATTTCGGTCGAAGCTGCGTTTCC